CAAACCCGGCCCTCACTTTGTTTGCAAAGCAGCGTAATTGGTTTAAGCCCGGAGGCCGGGGAAGAGGGAAATGGGGGTGGGGGTGGGGTGGAACCCCCTTTGGAAGAGGAAAAAAAGAAAAATAGGCGGAGCCGGGCGGGCTAGCGAGGGTTCTCGGTGGGAACCCCGCAGCAGGACAAGGGCTGGGGCGGTGGCGTTGGAGCCCAGGTTCGCGGGGCTGTGTCGGCTAAATGACCCCAGGGTCCCTCCCCAGGTGGTCCTACCGCCTTTTGGAGAACCTGGCAGCAGCCCGGGTCCCGCGCCCCTCCTGCTTTTCTGCCTGCTTCCAGCCCCCACCCTCCTGATTCCTGACCTAAAGTTCAAACCCGGGAAAAGGGAGAATACAGGCTTCGAACCCACCCCCCATCCCCACCCGCCGCTTCAGGCTTGAAAGGAAAAAGCCCCACTTTTGCCCCGTCACTAGAAACTCGGCCATCCGATTCAGCCGAGCCGAGTGACGTTAGACCGATCCGGGCTCCTGGCTAGCAGAATGGAGACGCTGCCACGAAACCCGTACCTGCGGCTTAGAGCAGGTGAGTCACAGCACCGTTTTATATCTTTATGACATAACTTTTTTTTTTCCGCCTCGGTCCGCTCTACTCCCCTTGTCATCTGTAACAATCATAAAGAGGAAGAAACTGAGAACAGATGTCTGTGTGATAGGGCAGGCGGACCTGAGTCGGGCGGGCCTCCCTGTGCCCAGCTCCTCCTCCCGCCCCCCTTCCGCAGTCTCCGGGACTGAGCAGGAGGCGACCGTCTGGTTTCTGATAGGGAAAGGTCAGGGGGAGGGACATATCCCTAAATGCGCGCGTTAGCTGGGAGAATCTGGGCGCGGGCGCGGGAAGGCAACTAACTCGGCTAGGTAGGTGTCAGGCCGAAGCCAGAGGTGGTCTGCGGAGGTGCCCGGTCCCATCTCTGGCCTGAAGGGGCCAGGCTAGGACCCTAGACGCTTGCTTGGTTCCTAATCGCCCTGGACTTGGGCGGGAAGTTCCTCGGCTCCCCTCCCCCAGGCAAAGTCTCTTGGCTCTTGTGAGGCCCTGGGTGGTGGATTGCCACCCAGGTACCAACTAAAGTGATTGGGTGACAGGCGCTGAGTTGGTGATAGGTTGCGCGGAGGTGCATGTGTGAGTTTCCGAGTATGGGTGTGTTTTTGACTGAGTGTGACCGTGTGTGTGTTGTACCCTCTGTAGCACCACTAGGTTTAAGAAGCATAAAAAGTAAAATCTTTCTAAAATGACTAAGAATCTGCAAAATATTCTTGTTTGGCAAAGTTTTTAAAAATGTTATTAATCTCATTTTGAGAAATGTATTTTAACTTGCCTTCCAAACAGATACCTCTCCCCTCTCCCCCCTTTGTTCTTTTAAATCTCTCTTCCTGGAAATCTGGCAACAGAATCACGTTAAATCCTCGAACCAAACAAATCTACATCAGCAGGGGAGCAGGAGAGGGTGAAGATGTGCAGTTAAGGAAATAAAAAAAGATAAAAGCATTGGATTACAATTCCTTTTTTTTTCACAAAAAAATAGGGGAGGGGAGAGAAATGTCACACTGTAAAGAAAGGAATGAGTGAAATTAAATCCACCTGGAAATCAGCAGAGCAGGCGCCCTCCCCAACTGCAGCCTGCCCCTGCGACAAGTCAGTTCCATCAGTTTGTGTAAATGTATCTGCAAATGTGTGGGTCTGCACTAATTCTCAGGGCGACAGTCAGAAACTAATTCTTTTGTGCAAAGTTCCCAGCAGCAACAGGACCTTAGTTCCATTTGTAAAGTACACGGATGCTTAGCGTCCTCAGCCTGATCCGGGGGGACTTTCAGTGGTAATGAGCTTCCTTGTTCCTTCCCGCGGTGATACTCCAACGCCCTCTTGGCTCTTCAACAACCTCGAGCATGACTAGGGTTATTTTCTCTGGGTCGTAGCAACTTAGTAATAGTTTTTATAGTGCACAAAAAGCAGGTGCTTTAAAGGGGGGGGGACGCTGTCACCTTAAAAGGGGGTCAATTAAAAATCAAACATTTTCCCTCTTTTAACCCACTTCCCAAACCTACTAGGCCTCATCTTTAAACAACAACAACAACAACAACGTCAGTTTAAGAAAATTAAAAAAGTCCCCTGTTCCCTGTTCATAGCGGGATGGCCAAAGTGAAGTTTCTCCAGGGCTGCTTCCAAGCCCAAGACTTGTGGTAAAGAGTGGACTCTGCCAGCTTTAGAGCCTTGATACAGTTTAGGGGTTCCTGGGTCCGGGGACCGAGAAATTCCCGCGATCACAGCGCCTCCTGTCGTGGGGTGGGAACGCTGAATTCTCGCGCCAGAGCGCCCAGGGACCACGGCCTGGGAAGATTGGAATCCCTTACGTCTCCCTCAGCCAGAGATTTTGGTCCATAGAGCTGACTGCTCGAGGCCAAGAAGAAGGGAAGTTGGCAGCTCGGCTAACTCCCAGCCCCTCTCCACGTCAGTGACGGTATTCTAAGACACCTAACACATTTAAAAGACGAAGTTCTAGTGTACCCAGATGCCAGCCAGTCATTTCCCCGAGGTTTCAAAGTGACTCTTCAGGGCTGTGGCTGGGTCTTTGACTTGGAAAATAAACAACAAGCAAACAAACAAAAAGCAAAGCTGCTGCCCCCAGGTTGCTGGTCGGTAAGCAGCCAGGTGACATGCGTGGCTGCTGCAGCCTGCTCATTTCCAAACTCTTCTCCCAAATAGGCCCTGCCTGTACAGTTTGCACAAGGCTGTGCTGCGCTTTCCGGGGAACTAGACCCATTTTCAGCCTCAGGGAGGCTGAGTGGACTCGAGGCAGGGGAGCCACGAAGGCAGCCACGTGGTAGCTCCTGGAGAGTCCTGGGCCAAAGTCACCTGGACGAGAACGGGTCTGCGTGAGCCTGGGGCGGCCCACGTAGCGGAGTAGGCAGGCTCTTCAGGCAGAGGAAGCTGGGGCAGTCAAGACCGTGGGGTGCGCAGGTACTCCTGGTGGCCGAGGGCGGAGGAAGCGGCTCCGCCCTTCCCGGAAGCTGCGCCTTCTACGCCCCTGGGGTCCGCTCCTTGCGCAGTCCCGCAGTGGGAGCGGGCGGCACACGGTCCACCGGCCAAACTCGGCCACCTTCGCTTCCCTTTCCCGGCATTACCTGGCTGGGAGCCCCTTCGCAGATCTGCACCGGGGCTGGGAGAAGCAGAAGGTGACAACGGCAAGAGAAGGAGGAAAGTCTGTGGGCTAGCGTTTCGGGCTCAGCCGGCTTCCTTCCAGTTTAGCTGGACTACAGGATGGGCAGAAAGCAGGACCTGGGGTGGCGGTGCTCTGCCGTGTCCCCTGGAGCCTTCCGAGGACTTCCTGCCCGGGTTCTTCCTAGTCTGTCCCCTTTTCCCACTCCCCACCACCACCACCACCACCACCATCCCTCCCCCAGACGGGGCTATGGTCAGTCCTCCGCAACCGTGGGCCCAGCACGCTCAGTGCAGCGTGGGCCAGCTCCTCGACAGGCCCCCACCCTCGCGACCCAGTTAAGAAGTTTAAATCCTCCGCCTGCGAGGGGAGAATCAGACGCAATGAAACTAAGACCTGTTGTCTTTCAAGCTGTTCAAAGCCGACCCAGACGGCGACCCGGGGTCAGTTTAGGACGGAAGAAGGCCTGGGCCGCTGGAAGCAACGGTCTGCCCCTGAGTGTGCCTGGCCTTCGCCAACCAAAGAGTGTGCGGGAGCTGGGGAAGGGGCCCGGGCGCCGCGAGAGGGCGGACCCCAGCGCCTGCCTTCAGCCTCCCGCCCACACCCGCGGGAGGTGCGGTGACCCTGGCCTTCGGGGCGCACAGCCTCCCCGACCAGTATGAGGCGCGGGGGCCCAGGAGACGAGACGCACGGAGCTCCTGTACCTTCACTGCCTCTCTTTTCCTTTTCTTTTTTTCCTCCGACTTGCCTTTCCCTGGACCTTCTCCCTATCGTTAAATCATTAATTAAGAAATTAATTCATAGCTCACAAGGCGTCCGACTCTCAGTAGGTAGGGGCCCTGCGACCACCTTAACCGGTCCTGGTCGCCGGTTCTACGTGGAGACGTATACGTTTCCTGGCTTCACCTCCGGCCGGTGTTAGTGTGAGTGGACCAACACATACACACATGTAGGGCTTTTACTTTCCTGGAAAATATTTGATGTAACATTTTCATTACAATTCTTTACCTCTGGGGTTTTCCCTTCCTCTACTGCTCCTGGAGCCGCCGCCGGATTTCTGAACTGCCTGGTGCGCGAGCCTAGGTCGCCCGCAGCCGGATGTCAGAGCCGGAGCTGCTCCGACCCGGCCTCACCCGCGAGCAGCAAAACTGCCCCTCTGGCCGTGAGCGAGCTTCGCCTTGCCAAAATCAACTTGGATTTTCATTATTCAAATGAGAAAGATTGGGAAGGGCGACTTACCCTCCTGGGCAATCACTTACTCCTTGGAAGAAAAGAGCAAGTGTCCCATGGTCCCCGCAGGGAACGGGAACCTGTCTCCCTCGAGGCCCAGGTAGGGGACTTGGCACTCGTAGCAATTGCGTGTCTCCAGACAGCTGTGTTCCCCAAGCTACCGACTGCTTTATTCTCAGCGATCAGTGCCAGCTCCAGGAAGTACCAGGCCCCCAGCTAGTCAGTCTCTCTTCACCCCGGCGCGCCCCTGGAACCCTATCTCTGCTCAGTGGTGCCCACACTTTCCTCAGGCTACTTGAAAACAGCTGGGGCTAGGGTCCTAGGGGGAGGGAATGGAAATGCACGCTTCAGACACAGAGTTGGGCATTTAGGGGAAAGAACACGTGACAATTTTAGGTCTGAGAACAGAAAGGGACAAGAGTGGCTGAGGCCCTACTCTGTGCCACAGACTGGGCTGGCGCTTGCAGATCCCTGCGTTTCCTCCACCTGCTGCTCCGGGTGTGCCAGAGCTGGGCGGCTGGAAGCCTGGGAGAGGGTAGGTCGTAGCCTCAACTCCTCCCCACGCAGAAGTTTGCGCTTATGGGAAGCTGTGGTGGACACCGAGGGCGCCAGAAACCTCAACGAATGTCATCTCTTGCCTCGAGGTTGCCAGCCTAAACCTAAATTCTTCCTGAACGGCCGACGAGTACTTAGCTTCTCAGTTCCTGACACCCCACTTCCAACTCAACCCCCACCCCCACCCCACAGGCCCAGGAGCTTTCGCACGGCCCTTCCGTTGGCCCTGGTGGTTTAAGTTTGGCTATTCAAATGTGATTACCCTCAAATTTACATAGTTCTATTTAACAGAGCTTTTGTGACAATCATAGAAATCATATCCTACACACGGGGGAAAAAGGTAAAAATGCATTCTAGCCAGGCTTTTTTTCATTGTATTGGCTTCCTGATTTTAAAATTGTGCTTTGGACTGAGAAAAAGACTAATTTATTGGCATGACTAGAGGGAGGTTACATTCATTAGTTAAAATTAAAATTCGATTGGAAAACACTGTTGACTGGCTGCTTCTGGGATTTCCAGCAGATATTCCAGAGCTAATATCAGAAGAAAGTTTTTTGTTTTAAAAATGGTGCATCTGTTTGAAGTTTGATTTTTCTTGTCTCGTGGGCCACAGAGCAAAACCAGTGCCTAGCTCACTTCCGTGGTGAGTTTGCGTCTAAACGGAAACGCTAGGAAGAAGCCTTCTTGGCAGCATTCCCTTTTGCTGGGGTATTAGCAAGATTTGAGGGAACTCTGCCCCCTTTCTGAATGCTGCAGTCCTGGTTTCCTACTATACATGAATCAAAGCAAGAGCTGCAGCTGCCAACATTGGGCAGTACCTGAGGTGGCAGCCTCCCTGGGTCTGTGGTGAGGACTTTGCGGTCCTCTGCAATCAACTGAGCTCTCCCTTATTAGGTCCATACCTTGCTCTAGATTTCTGCCAGGCTCTTATCACTCTCCTAAAGCAAATTCCATTTGTGTCTTTTTCATTTTTTTTTGTCTTCCCCACTGGACTAGAAGCT